AGAAGTATTAAGGGGTGGACCAGCTGGGCAGCAACCTGGGTCTCAAAAGGCACTAAATTATTCTTGGAGTAATTCGGACATTTGGTACCAGTGAACTCTGATTTGTGTCTCTTCGTGACCTGTAAGTTGGCTCCCACTTACTGAGAAATCCTTAAAGACTGCTTACCTGGACCACCTGTCTCCAAAATAATTTTGCAACGTGCAAGTACAGGTATAAGTTACACGGTTTAGCCCTATGACCAGCTTTTAGTTGCTTGAAGGCAGCAGTCGCAGCTAGAATTTGGGGAATTGCACCTTACACTGTGAAGTGCCACTCCCTGAGTGAGATTTATATCATATCCACATTTTAAATGGTTTAATATGCTTACCAAGAAGTTGTCTGCTTCAGAAAGTTGTATGTAATGAGTTCATGTAATAAATTCTAATTTTGAGTAGAAAGAATGAGGCTAACAGTTTTTATTCCCAGAAAATCATATCCCCCCACTTTTGTTACATAAACATTCAACATGTTTAATCCTGGTTTGAAGTGATGCCAACTCATTAGCCCTGTGCCAGGGCTGGCTCGGCCCCCCTTGGCTGGCTTTGGCAACACGTGCATCACCTAAACCATTTGGGGACCTGACTGTGAGTGGGCTTGCTTAGCATTTAGGTATGCACTCAACTGCACCCCCAAAGTGATTTTCTTGATATGGATTGACTTACATAGGGTCTGAAACGGCACTGAGACTCTGGAGGTGGGCCCACAGAAGTCCATTGCCCTAACCATGGATTCTATGCCTTCAGCAGTGCCCATGATAGTATGAGAGTGGGAGATGCAGGGGAAATGGAATTAGTGGGAGGAGTCAGGGCATGAGGAGGGCTGTTTAAGTCACTGGGAGAGCTTCAGTGCTCAGTAAGTGTAGGGCAACAAGGAAGTTCGGGGGACTGGGGGTGTGCTAACAGGGGTTGCTGAGCTAGGGAAGAGGAGGAGCCTAGAGGCGGGCAGGCTTGGAGGTCCTGTGGGTCCCAGCTCCAGCCCGTCCTTCTGGCCCCTCCCCGCTGCTGCAGTCGGCCAGAGTCACACATATGTTTTCCTGTTTTTCATTTCGGTCCCATTACCCTCTGCCTTTTCTGCTCCTCAGAGTCAACAGCTGCTGCAGCTCCAGCCATACCCTGGCGCCCCTTCCCAGCACCTTTTCCTCCCCAGACCCCCAGTGTGCTGGTAGCCCCTCCTCCTCGAACCTGCCCAAAGGTCACGGGACTGGTAAGAGGTGGGAGACGGGGGTCAGTGGGTGAGAGGGGAAGTACAGGAGGAGGATGGAGTGAGAGTCCTGAATGGAAGGGACTCAGAGCCTCTTGTTTCCTGGCCCCAGTGCTGACCCTCCCGAGGCAGAGCCCTCTGCCCAGAGACCTCAGTCCTACATTAATGAAACACCTGGCCACAGGAGTAAACAATTTCTTGTTTCACTTTTTTCTTTTTGGACTGTTGTAGCCACAGTGGAATATAGAAAAACAAATGGAGAACTGGGGAGGGAGGAGCTGAGATTCCAGCTTGGGGTGATGGGGCAATCGAGCTGTACCAGAGTGTATTTGTTTTCTCTTTCTGTTGTTAGGGGAGGCAGCACAGGCCAGTTGGAGCTAGGAGGGCAGGATAGGGGTCTCTGGGGGAGAAATGATCTGCACACCTTTAGCTCCCTGAGCTTGACTGAGGAGCCAAGACCCTGAACTGTGTGCGGGTTTCTGGAGAAAGGGTATTTTGCTGTTGCCATTGGGTGGAGCTAGGGCCAGGGCCCCCACTGGCTCCTGCACCAGGCACTGTGTCCTGGGGGCCCTACTGACTGTGTTCCCTGAGCCCGTGAATCTGAAACTTCTCCCACAGGCTGGAGAGTGAGTGTGTTGTCCTGTAGTCTCCCCTAGGTCCTGAATGCACTTCAGACAGGGGAACGGGACAAGGGGTGCCGGTATCAGAAACACCATTGTCTCGTGGGGTTCTAGGCGCTGCAAAATTCTGTAAAGTCTGGTGTGCAAGAGCCCTTCTGGAGAGGTCCTGCCAGTCCCAGGTTGCCTATCTGATGGAAGCATTACCTTGTGAGCCAGGGTCTCAGGGAGAAATGTGAGCTGCCAGAGATGGTGCTTTTCTGCCCATGGTGCTGGTGCTAGGTGGTGGTTGACAAAAGAGGCTGTGAAGGACAGCCACCCCTGCCCAGTTTGTGTGGGCAAGTGCAAGCTAGGCCAGGAAGGAGGTTCTACCATTAGCATTCCTGATGAGGCCGCTAGGGTGTGCTGTTTGCTGGAATGTGTGTTTCTGTCTCAAGATTCCAAGAGAAGGACTTCTCTTTTCAGATACCACTTAGGCAGGAACTAAACCCAACATACCTCTTTCCCTATTTGCCCTCACGCCCTCTCTCCTTCCTTTGTCCCTCCTTCATTTCTTCTTCTTTTCTTAATGTCCCATTAGGACACATGCCCACCCCTTGGTGCTGAGGAATTGGGCCTTAAAAGGGCAGGCATGGTGATGTATTTCCATGCGCCTTGTTTGCTTTGTAAGTGGGCACCCTAGCAGTTGCAATGCTGCCGAGAGGGCTGGTATTTGCCTGCAAAGAGATGAGAAAGGGGAGGAACAGCCAGGAAGGAGGTGGATGGGCTTTGTTGGGGGGTCTAGGCTTCAGGCTGAAGAAGGGCGGAGGCTTTCTTTTTAATCACACCCTCTCCCGGGTAAATCATTAGGAAGCCATCTGAAGTGTTTTCTTGTCTGAAGAAGGCCTAGAGGCTGCTGGGTAGATGGGGGGGGGTAGGGATGTTGGGGAGGTAGTGCAGTGCCAGTTAAGAGTGTGGGCTCCGTTGGCTAGCCTGCCCTCACTAGTTTGGCACCCTGGTATGGGACTTAGTGCCCGCCTCAAGGGGCTGCAGGGAGGATTAAATGAGGTAGGGCATTTAGGTGCCTAGCAGTGTGTCTGGCTCCAGTAAGTGCTCAGTAAAGTGCTGGGCTGCCAGAGCTCACTGGGAAGTCACAGAAAAGGGGCTCTTGGGGACGTGTTCAGGGGGTTAGCCTGGGATGAGCTGCTGCTGCCTATTGCTCTCCTGGTTGTAGATCTTGTGGGGACCCTTAGGAGCTTAGGAGATTCCTGCTTGTGGCAGAAGAAGAGAGGGAAGAAGAGGGGAAAGGGGATGGCCACAGGCTGCTCCCCAGAAGGGGAGCTAGCTGGAGCTGGAAGAGCTGGGTCCTTTGTCTTGAGACTTTTATCTCTCTTTCTTGTGGGTGGGAATCTCTGGGGAGGTCTCGGGGGAGGGTTTCAGCAGATATTCATCCATTCTCTGAGTGTGCTCTTTTGGGGTTGTGGTCTCCACTGATAGGTCAGTGCCAGGACAGGGTCATTAGTCATTGAAGTTGATCCTGCATCTCCCACCTGGTTTTGCTGCTTTTCTGGGCCTGGAGCTGAAACACAACTGAGGCCTAGATGTTACCTGTAGGGAGGTGAACTTCTGTATCTGGCTGTCAATTGCCTGGCCACTTTGTTCAGCTTTCTATCTTGGTTTCCCTGTTCCACTTGCCAAGGAATTTTCCTACCTTCTTACTATTCTGTCTCAGTCATGTACTAGAAAGATGGGGAATTTCAAAGGTGTGTTAACCTAGATGTACAGAAACAGCGAACAGGGCTTGCTTATGTCAAATATAAGCCTTTTAGTAAAGAAGTTATATGTCTGGGGCATGACTACCCATCATAACCTGCCCAGTCAGGAATTTGTAATTAAATTACCCTTCGAAGTTACTCTCCATAGAACTTCCTTTTTATCCTTTTGGGAGAAGCATGATGTCTGGGAAAGCTAACATCTGGATCCTTCTCTTGGTTTAAAGAAAAGTTTCAGGGACTGGGATGAGAGGGAGTAGGGCAAAGATAACCACCTCTGGGATTTTTAGATCATCATTCTCTGGTTGTTGAGTGACCACAGAGGCTGTTTTTAAAAAGTCGTGAAAAAGGGCAGATAGTTGGATTTCAGAATGGATAGAATATATTTCTTTTGGTTAAAGAGACCCAAAATATCCCATTTAAGTAGACTATAAAGGTAGAATAATCTATTATTTCCAAAAAATACTCAACTTTTTCTTTCGGTTATGTGCCTGTATGTTCAAAATAGCTCAGTGAAATCCTAGTTCCCCTAATATTTTTAGGAGATTGGAGTAAACTTGTATTTGGGGAAGATGTTTGTAAGAGTTATGCTTACCCAAAGACCCTGGTATATTTTCTTAAGGATGAAAGGGCACAAGAGGGAGGGTGGGGTGAATGCAGCCAGAGGCTTGAGTATAATTTCTTGACCTTGTTTCCTTGGAAGGAGCTTGAGGCTCAGCCTTGGGGTAATGGCCCAAGTTCAGGGGCAGCCACCCCTCTCTTTGTGAGGGACAGTGTGAAATGTTCTACTTTTAGGACAGCTGATCTAATCACAAGGAACGGTTACTGCGCTCCCACTTCCTCTAATCTCAGTCTGAGACAAGCCTTCGGGTCACATTGTGCAACCTCAGTGGGCTGGGGTGGGGCTGGGGGACTGGGAGGGAGGGCTGTGCAGTGTTTCTCAGCCGGCCCTGTCCTCATCAGGGCCAGTTTGCGAGGAGACAGCTTCCTCAGGGTGTCAGAGCTGCGCCCAGCTGACAGTCCTTTCTTCTGGTTCCTGTCAAAGGAGGTTCTTGAGGGAGTGTCTTCTTATTGTAGAAAGTGCTGAGCCCAGAGCTCCCAGTTGCACTTTCTGCAGAGCTGAGGAGCCAGTGAACCTTGGACCCAGGCACAGTTGCTTCATACTCTTCTCTCCCGCCTTCAGCCCTCCTTGACTTCCCGATTTGACTCAAATCCATATGCCCTTGCCCAGCCATTCCTTTCACTGCTGGCTGAGAAGGAGTGGTCAGAGCACAGCTTCTGACTTCCACTGGCGTTGCTGCCGCTGCAGGAACCTGCTCACGCCTTTAGCCAGGTAGTGAGCGCTTTCCACTCTCTCCTTCAGCCCACCCCCTCGCGTGACCCCACCCCTCTTTGCTGCTGTGCAGTGTCCACTTCATCTCCTCAGTCTCTCTAGCCCTGGTACTTCTCCACTTGTGCGGCCAGCTTTGCACGTTTTTCTCTCAGCTGTCTCTTGCTCTGCGGGGGCCAACATCAGCTGCCCCACTTCAGCTGTTTCCTGGCTTTGGCTTTCAGTGCTGTGTGTCCAGCAGCAGCTCCCGGGTGGGAAGCGGTCATCAGCTGACTCCAATCATCTTTAGCTTGGGCTATACATTGGGATCGCCCTTCTCTCATTCGTACTATTTGGGTGATGCAACTATGCCGATGAGAGGAATTTGATGGCAGAGGATCTGGAATACTAAGGACTGGGAAAGGTATCGTGGAAAAGAAAGGCAAGGAAAAGAGGAAAATAGCCTGTCTTCAGGATGGGGTGAGGTCTCTGGGGTTGTGCTAGGGTTGAGCACTTCAACTGAGCAGGGCGATGGTTGTGGGTTTCCAGCTAGAAATCGCTGAAGCCTTTAGGTTTGCCAGAGCTAGAATCCTTGGGCGAAAAGAGCAGTGCTGTGAGGAGACCCCATAGATTATTTGCTTGCAAGGTTGGTTCCTCATGTGGCATCTCAACCCAGGTGACAGGTGAGCCTGAATTGGAGGGAAGACACACTTTTTATCATTTTTTGTCCTTACCTGAGGAGATGCTTATTGATTTTAGAGAGAGGGAAACGGAGGTGGAGAGGGAGGGAGAGAAATATTGATGTGAGAGAGAAACATCAATTGGCTGCTTCTCTTATGTGCCCCAGCTGGGAACTGAACCCACGACCTAGGCATGTACACTGATCGGGAATTGCACCTATGACCTTTTGGGTTATGGGACAACACGCCAACCAACTGAGCCACACTGGCCGGGGCCATACCTTTTTGGGGTAAAGCTGAAAACCGCTGGCTCAAATTATTTTGGCTGCACCTGGGAACTGCCAGATGATTGCCCTGATTCCTGTCTCTTATCACAGCAGGCCCAGGCAGAACCAGGTGTCAGTTTTCGATTTGTGAATCACATAGGCAGCACCAGTCTCAGCACGGTGAGGGGCACACGCTTCCTCTCTGGGGAATGAATACCTTCCTTTAAAAATTCAAGTTGCGGTTGTTTTGATGAGTCAGAGCCAGCAGGAGAAAAGGTTAATGGGGGGTGGGAGGCAAGAGGGAGGTCTCAGCCCTGGTGGGCAGGGCGGGTTGTCCATACTGGTCTTTATGGGGGAGGGTACTATGGTACTGCCGACTGCCTGATATATATTATCTTCATTCTTCCTTAGAGGGCAATGCCAGGAAGCTGGTGAAGTCTCTCTTTTCCTCCTCCACCATGGTTGACGGCGTTAAGTACGAAGTGGCCTCCCAGCACGTGGGGGAGGCCTCTCCTTTGGCAGAGAAGGCCTGCCCAGGGCCCGAGCAGGTGAAGCTGAAGAAGGAGATCTCGCTGCTGAATGGCGTGTGCCTGATTGTGGGGAACATGATTGGCTCCGGCATCTTCGTGTCCCCCAAGGGTGTTCTCATGTACAGTGCCTCCTTTGGCCTCTCCCTGGTCATCTGGGCTGTTGGGGGCCTCTTCTCCGTCTTCGGGGCCCTTTGTTATGCGGAACTGGGCACCACCATTAAGAAGTCTGGGGCCAGCTACGCCTACATCCTTGAGGCCTTTGGGGGACTGCTTGCCTTCATCCGACTCTGGACCTCTCTCCTCATCATTGAGCCTACCAGCCAGGCCATCATCGCCATCACCTTTGCCAACTACATGGTGCAGCCCATCTTCCCGAGCTGCTTCACCCCCTATGCTGCTGGCCGCCTGCTGGCTGCTGCCTGCATCTGTAAGTGGGGCTGGGGCAGGAGGTGCTGGGTAGAGCGCCAGGGTGGGCGCCTGGGTGTGAGTCTAGTTGGCTGGTAAGAGGTAGATGGAAGGAGATGCATGCCCCTACAAATGCTTTTATTTTATTAAAAATAATGTATGCTTTGTGTGAAAATTTGAACAGTACCAAAGTGTAAAAAGACCCACTGATTTACCTTTCACCCAACCCCCCATGGTAAGCATCATTAGCAGTTCGTGTGCCCTTCCTCATTTTCTTTTTGCTCCTTCAAGAGATGTAGTTTTGTTCTGTGGTTTACAACAATGGGATCATACTCCATACATAATGCTATAGTTTGCTTTCCCCCCAGAATTTATCAGTGACATTCTTTTCTATTTACAGATCTATGTTTTATTTTTATTTTACTTTATTTTTTAGAGTGGGGGAAGGGAGAGAGAAAGACAGGTAGAGAAACATTGATGTGAGAGAGAAACATCAATGTTAGAGAGAAACACCAATTGGTTGCCTTTTTGTATGTGCCCCAGGGGACTGAACCCAAAACCTAGGCATGTGCCCTGAGTGGGAATTGAACTCATGACCTTTTGGCCTGCAGGATGACACTCAACCAACTGAACCACACTGGGCAGGGCTTGGCTAGATTCTTAACACTGTTATAGATAGTCTGGTAGGTTGAAACCAGTAACCAGTAACCAGATAATTACTGGTGAAACTAACTGGGGTCCCCTCAGATGTAGGTATAGTCACATATTTTGTGTAGGGCAAAGTTTATTCCATCTAAGTAAAATTTCTAAGACAGCTGCATCCCTTTAAATGACAGAATTCTCTCATTTTAACCATCTTTGTTGAAATCTCTTTAAAACCAATGCTATATCTGCTTGCCTAAATAACTTGACATTTCTTTTGGTGACCTGGGGTTACCACGGCACATCTCAACTCTTGTTGAGATTATGATTATGGGGCCTTACCAGGCCATCGGGGTGGGGGTGAGTGTCGGCTTCCTCAGTGGCCTCAGGCTGCTGGCCTGACTTCAGTTCATCAGGTTTCATCGTTTTCTGGTTTTGGTCTAGTTCATCGGTTTCTGGAATGACAGCTGTCATTCCTTGATTCTGGCACTGTGCCCATCTACATTGGTCACCCTTTTTTACTTTGCTCTTTCTAATTTGGGAATAGAGATGGACTCAAACTCTTGTACACCCATTACCTATAAATACACATGTACCCTCATATAAATACATGCAAAGTAGCCACAATCATGATTAGTCTGCAGAGCTCCCTAGTGAATAAAATACAGAGTTTTGTGCTGCATGGATTCATGGCATATATTTGAGACAACTCTGGTAGAGTGAAAAGTGCCCCAGCCTTGTATTTGAGTCTGGGCTCAATAACTCCATGACCTTTGTCAAGGTGCAGTGACTATTTACTTCCAGATTACTGCAAGAATGAAATCAGATTCAGTGAAAACCATAAATCATGGCTCAAATGTACCATGTTAATTATATATTTAAAATTACTGTATCACTTCACTGCTTATAAGACTTTTTTCTATCTCTAATAACTTCAGAGGCACATGGAGATCTGGGAGAAGGTTCCAAAGGACAACGAAGATTGTAAGAATTTAGGGACATATGATTCATTCATGAGTTTCTTCCTCCAGCTATTATTTAATGAGCACCTAGGACAAGTCAGATGTTGAGACCTCTGTGGACACTCTGCCCATATACAACCTGCAGTAATATCTCTGTTTAACCATAATTATTCAGGGGCAAGCCAAGAAGTATCCCAGGGGGGAGACATACACAGTAACAAATAATTGTTATGCAAGATAATAGGTGTGGTTAATGAAGGCACCATAGGAGCAAGTAGGACAACCTTCTTCTTATGGGGAGGAGAGCTCAGGAAGATGTCACAGACAGCACAATGTCTCAACTGAATTTTGAAAAGACACACAGCTGTCTTCTAGGACATTTCTCATAGGGTAACTGCATGTAATAATGTGTGGAGATGCAAAAAGGTACGGACTGTTTAGAGGACTGCAGGTAGTTGGTGGAGCTGGAATGTGGAGTAAGAGACAGGGAAGAAGGTAGAGACTGGAAATATAGCCCAGGGTCAGCTCAAGGAGGGTTTTATATTATGCCTAAATAGGCTAGACTTTATTTTGAAAATAGGGGGGAGCTATCAATTTTAAGTGGGGAAGTAAAATCAGATTTGCTTGGAAGAACTCCTTTGGACATGTGGAGAGTGTTTTTGGAAAGAGACAGAAGGTAGGGAGACAGCTTTAGGGAGCTGAAACCTGAGTCCGTACAAAGTGTGGTGAAGGTCTGCCCTTCACCTTTGGAACTGAGATGAGGGGGTAGATGCTGAAATAGTCATGAGATGGGATTTCTAGGACTTCTGGATGTGAGGCTGTGTGGGAGCTCTCTGAGGTGTTACTAAGGGTTGAAGCTTGGAAAGACGGAGGTGATAGGGCCACCGTCTGGAATAGGAAAGGTGGTGATGGGGTACGGGGGCATCTGGGGCTTTACTGGGCTGCTCGTGCAGCTCTTCCATGGGCAGTGCCTTCCTCAGGTCATCACCACCCAGAGAGGATCACTTCCTCATCAACTGAGTCTCGCCAAAAAGGGAGGCTGATGTGTATAAATGACAGTGTTTATTAATGTGCAATTGTGGGCATACAGGTGTAATTTCTAAATAGCAGAAGGCATGAGTTCACTTCCATGGAACCCTCTTCCTCGTACTGTGGCGACTGGGAAACCAGTCAGGGAATTGCTTGCAGGAAATGGAGTGAGAATGAAGGAAGAATGTTTTGGCTCTTCGAAAATAATTTCCTGATGGTGGTGGAGTCTATAAGACATGGAGCTGAAAGGCAGAGCCTCTGCTTGTAGGGGGCTCATGGTGTGGAAGAGACCCTCAAAAACAGTCTAGCATAGTGTATATGGTAAGTGCTAGGAGTGGGGTGGCATGTGGCCTATTCAGGACATGATTTCTGCACTTGGCACTGGAGGAGAAAAAGGAATCAGGGCTGGTGAAGCGCTCCCTTAGCATGACCTTCAAGGCCCACTTTGTCTGACTTCTTTGACTCACTTTAGACATCTCACCCTCACCCTCTGTTCTCCAGCTACAGTTTGTTTTGCTTTTCCTTCAATTTGCCTGGCTCGTTCCTGCCTTAGGGGTTTTGTAACTAGGAATGATCTCTGACTGTCCCTTTTACTGGGAAGGCTCTTTCCCTAGATATCCTCAGAGCTTGTTACCTCACTCCATTCATATGTTTGCACACATGTTACCTTACCAGAGACCTACCCTGTTTAAAGTGAGATTTTAAATTAAAAAAGTGGCTGTTTTCTATCCTGTTTTTTTTTTTTTTAATCATGAGAGTAAGTGTTTTGCTCACTGCTGAATCTCTGGCACTTAGAACAGTGCCTATTGTTTGCTAGGCACTCAACAAATATCTGTTGAATGAAGAAGGGGCAAGTTCTAGATACAGGGAAGGGCAATGTAGAGGCATGAAGGCGAGAAAAAGTACGGGGTGTAGGGTGTGTAGGGGGGCTTGTGGGATGTGAGGGATTGTGGGATGTGAGGAAACAAAGGAAGCCAATGGGCTAGAGCATGAGGCAAACCTTCCTAGGGGTTTAGATTTTATTTTAAGGCACGTGAGGAGCCTTTGAAGGGTTCTAAGCAGGGAGGCAGTGTAGCTGGGGTAGGAGATAAGAAGCAAGGCTGGAGGGGAGACACTGATTAGAAAGCCCATTGCAGTCCAGGCATGAAATGAAAGCCTGAACTAGGGCAATGGCAGTGGGGGTGCAGCTTATTTAGGAGATGATATCTCTAGGAAAGAACAGATGGGAAAGCAATTTAAAAGGCACCATCAGTACAACCAATGACACTTACTGTGATGTCCGGTATAAGAAAGAGGTAGGTGACATCCACCAGCCTGTGAGTTCTGTGCCATAGGGGCTGAGCCTATGATCCCCAACAAAGAAACAAAGGGAGGAACTCAAGAAATATTCTTTGAATGAAGAAGTGAGGTTTCTAGTTTGGGCAACTGGTAGGTGCTAGCATAATGTACAAGGAGGGGGAGGACGCAATCATGTTGAATTTGAGATTTATTTGTAGGGTAGTAGGCAGATGTGCCCATCTGGAGCATAGGAAAGAGATGGGGCTGGAGACTGAGCATTCAGCAAATATTCCTGAAGCACTTGCCATTTTACAAGCACTGACTATTATCTTTATGGGGCTCTCAGTGTATCAGTATGTACACATGTGTACATGCTGGTGGGGGGCTAGGATAGGCAACCTGACACAAGATTACAATGGATTTTGATGAGTGTTGTGATTCTTGTGCAAGAAACTGTAGAAGACCTGAACTAGCCTAGGAGTTTATAAACTCTCCATAAAAAAGTTTAACATGACCCCTGAATGGTGAAGGAAAATTAACCAAGAGTAGAGAGGGTAGAGGAGCATTTCAGGCAGCTAGGACAGAATGTATGAAAACTTGTAGCCAAGAAAGAAGGACATCTTGAGGACACTGGAAAGGGGCTACTTCCGGCCAAGATGGAGGCATATCCATACCAGTAGGAAGGGCAGAGTGGGGAGGCCGAGCGGAGGGGGGTTGCGGCAAAAGAAGCCGTGGCTGATACAGACCCTGGGTGCGCAAGGCAGCAGCTGGAGGACCCTACCCGTGCAAGGTGGTGGCAGGCGGACCCAGCAAGGCGGCAGATTGTGGAGGGGCACAGTGCACAAGGCAGCTGGTTGACTGGGTGGTCCCACATTTGCACACAGATAAACCAGGTGAAACTGGGAAACAAGATAGACTGCACAACCCATGGTCCCAGCACCAGGAAATAAAGCCTCAAAACACCTATTGAAAACACCTGTGGGGGTTGAGGTGCTGGAATAGACTCCCAGCCTCACAGAAGAGTTTGTCGGAGAGACCCACAGGGTCCTAGAATGTACAGAAACTCACCCACGTGGGAATCAGCACCAGAAAGGCCCAGTTTGCTTGTGGG